TTTTTGTGAACTGCGTTGGCATCAATGTGTAAATTGTGGGACTGTGGAAAAAATATGAATGTGACACTGATGTCTCCCACAGTGAAGCTGGTTAGTGTCGTTTTTAGCAGATTTATTTTAAAAAAGAAAGGTCTAATTAAAAATGAAAAAAAAATTTGCCCTATCATCTTTGCAGTTGTTGCCACAATTTGGTGTTGAGGAGGGAACTGCAGAGCTTTTAATAGTAATTATTCTAAATTTTACAAGTTATGAGCATTAAAAAATTGCCTGAAGTGGAGCAGTTAGTTTTTGTTGGTGGAATATGCAGATTTAAGGAGAAAACAATTAGCAAGGTGGTTCCCTCAAGATTTTGAGATTGAAAAGAGATGATCTTCCCCTGTCTGCCTGTTACAAACCAAACATCCTGTGTCTGTTTTGTTTTCATTGTACCTACCTTAAGAAAAGCAAGATTTGACATGTCCTCATTTCAATGATGTCCAGAAGCAGCACATTTATCCAGAAAGAGCAAATCCTGCTCCTGCACAGCAGAGCTGGTTCAGAGGTGCTGCTGGACAGGTGGAGCAAGAGCAGCCCAGTGTGCCAGGCAGAGGAGCATGATTCCCACAGCACCACCACTGTCCAGCACAATTCCAGCAGCTCTCTTACAAACAGCATTTTGGCACAATTACTCCTGTTTCCCAAATCACAGTCCATTGATACTGCTCGAGGAGCATTTCAGAAAAAGGTTTCTCTTTCAGATGAGCAAACATGAGAGATTAAGTTATTTGTATTGCAGTACAACTGAAACATCCTAAGGCAAACAGTAACTCCTGCAAAACCTTGCTGTTGAACTTAACAAAATACAATTTTTTGCTCCAAAAAAGAGTGTGATTTACACAGACACGTCATGAGAAGGAAAAAGAAAAATTGTTGTGATCTTGAGGCTAGATAGGGAGACAATAATTTGTTGTCTAAATTGTTTTTTTAATTGCAAGCAACTATTTTGTATACTGTAGAAATGCTTTTAATATTTTCTGATTGAGACAGAGAAGTATTGTAAATTTGTTCTTATAGCCAAACTCAATTTCCTTATAGTTGTATGGAAATTTTCAGGAATTTCATTTATCTGGGGTTTACAACTGAATGAACAAAACACTGTTTTTTAATCCATGCTTTTGAACTATATTGCATCAATGCACACAGAAAAAATAAATACAGGTACACTTTCAGCCTGTGTCTCTAAATAGATGACTTTACAGTGAAATCCGATTTTTTTTTTCAAAATAAATGCTTTATTGTTAATTCACAATATTATTTTCCCATTAAATTTTTATGCCTTTGCTTTAGAAAACTATGTCACTTAATCTGCAGTTCAGTTTTGTGTTGTTTTCCAAATAAATAGCCAAGTGTTTAGAAAGCAAAGCAGAACAATCCTTAGGAGAGTATGAAGCTGAAAAAAGGTGATGGGTGAGCTTGAGGCAACCCAAAGACTCAGTGATAAACCTCAATTCAGAAGTTACTAATTTTAGATCTATTTTCTTAAATCTTTGCTGTAACTCTGTGTGGCCCTCTTAAAGCTACTAAATGCCATATTGTTAATGCCAGAGGCAAGCTAATAAATCCAGATTAGATCCCCTTCTTCTGTCTTAAATCATACAGATGCTGTTTTGAATAGTTGACACGTTTTCCTTGATCCTGCTCAGGGCAATGGACAGATGAACTGATTCAAATACCTGTTTAGCAGACATTCCATCATTTTCCAGAGCTTTGGGTTGGAATTCTTTCCAACACTCGGTCTGTCTAACATTTGCTTAATTTCAAGTGGAAAAACAGGGTCCTCTTTTTTTCTTGTTCTTTAAGGGATTTTTTTTTCTTTTTTTTTTTTTTTCTGGAAAACTTCTGTCAGAGTTATGTGATCACTAACTTTCAGTACCATTTTTTCAATAATATCAATAGTTACGATTTCCTATTGATTAATGTCACCTACCGTAGATTTTGATTCATATTAGGACTGTCCTGTGGTAACATTTGTTTCCTGAAGAGTTGCTGAAGCTAATGCTGACTGGCAGATAGAGAAAGCTGTTTCTTTGCTTTGATGGGTAGACCTCTGATGTTTTTCAAGACTTTTCTATAATCTCATACCATGACAAGTACTACTTCTCATCACCAAGTGTATCACAGATGCATCACATGTGGTGACTGCATAAAACATTGCAGTGAAATGGAGCTGGACCAGCAGAATATAATCCAGTAGTTTTCAGGTCTAGGTAAGGGGAGAACCATTACTAGAGAGAAAATGTGTCTGTCCATCTGACTAAAACATTACCTAACTGCTTTCACTTAGCATGGTTTTGTTATTGCTGTGATCAGGACAAACACAGTCCTGAGTGCTCTATCATGTCAGTTTGTGTGTGTGTGTACATGTAAATGTATCTAAGGAGAAAATGAATGTATTTTATTTTAGGGTTTTGGCAGTGTACGAACAACATAAGTCAGAAAAAATAGAGTAAAGAAGCACAGTTACCCATTCAGAACATTCATTACTCAAAACCAGTCCCTGAGGTTGCTGTGACATAAAGCCTGACCTTTTGGCTCTTGGTAAGAGCAGGGCTGCAAAAGGTCCAGTGCTATCCTGCAAATCAGGTCCAGTCAAGGAGCAGGACACGGTGGCTCTGCCTGTTCCGTTTCCTTTGGCTCTGGTTCTTGCAGGGATGGCTCCATCTCAACATGTCCCAGTTGTGGGTGGTTGTCTGCTTGTGTGTTGTCTCTTAGTGAGAGTCTTTCTGTCAGCTTAGAGGAAATGTGTGCAGTGGGAGCTGATCTGTTGTCTGTGGGCTTTCCTTCTCCCTTCTCCGTCACCACTGAAGGTGGTTCCCATCACGTAGGCCCTACTATGGGAACTTCTGGTACCCCTTTTCCTTTATTGATCATGTCTAGGGCATCTTACTACATCTTCCCCTCAGTGTGTCCAAGTCCCACATAATTCTGTGATCCCAAAGATCAGTTTTCCTTTGGCCTTCACTAAATGCCTGGGAGATGGTTCACCTACTCTGTCCAGGGGTGACCTTCTTTGAAGCAAGTTCTGTGTTTGGCCCTCCCTGTTTATCAAACACTCCACTCAACATGCACAGGTAATGCTTCCAGTGATGATTTTAGAGCTTGGCACTCTCACCCATTTAGCTTCTCTTGGCACAACTAACAGCCTCTTCATTTCTGTACTCTCTGTTCTTCTCTGCAAAGCATTTGCACACTCTGTATTCTAAAGTTCCTCAGAGAACTGCTTCTGAAGCAGTTCAGCTAGCAGACGCTAAGGCGTCTTGACTTGAACAGAAGTTTAAAATGTCAAACCACTTTATTTTCTAATGAAATATTTAATGAAATATTCAGGCTACTCTTTGAGCAGCTGTAGTCTTAGATAACTTTACTGTTGTTGCAATTGTTTAGTTTTCTGTTGAGAAGAAGATATTTTTCATGGACAACACAAGATAAGCTACATACAACCTACAGGGGGTGTGTGTGGGAAGGGCTTTTGTATATAATATTCATATTAGTTTAAAAAATAAGAGGTATTCAGAAAAATCTTTCCAGACTGCTCCTATTTCTAGCAACCTTTTTCAGCTGAAAAGAAAACAATTTAAAACACTATTTTAGAATTCTTAAAGCATATGTTTAAGTTATTTTCATTCCTTTAAACACTTTTGATTAGTAAACCTGCAATTTTTAAATGAATTATTAGCTTTTTATTTTGTTCAAATAAGATAGTTCAGGTAACTCCAAATTAAGTCTGTCTTTACTTTCCAAGATATGTGAAAATACTGTTTTCATTTCTCTAAAATGAAATGCTTTTTAAAATCTGAAATTGCTACTGCAACCAAGAACTGGTTTTTGCTTGACTATCTTTTTCTGTTATCTGTCTTAATATTTGGAAAACTCCTCCACACTTATGATACTGATGAAAATAATAACAATACTTTTTAAAAAAGAAATCTTTGTGCTGAAATGCTTTGAATGTTTGTCTTTTAAAAACCTTTTCTTTCCAGTGTATTCTCAGCAAAACTCCCTTCATCATATTTCTCAGCATCAGTGTACCCATGGCTGCATGTAACCCTTCTTTGTTTTTCCCCATGTAATCATCAGATTCTTAGCTCTGTGAATTAGTGTGATGTAGAGATGCTACTGATAATTTGCTTTTTTGTTGGCACAGTCAATCTTGTTCTGAACGTGGCTGAAAGAGCTACATAACACCCATCAGGTGCCTAAATGTTAGCACAAGAAATCTAAAATATCAACACCTCAAGAATAAAAAAGCTCAGTTGGAAATGCCTGTAGTACACTTTCTTTTTAGGCATTAGAGCCTGTTTCCCATTAGCCAGTATCAGATTAGCAAGGTAGCTGTCACTTTCTCAGTTAAAGAGAAACATCTGTCTACACCTGTGCATCATTTGTCAATAGAAAATAAGTCCCAGTGTGTTCTTACAAAATCAAACAAATTGTTTTTGAGGGGTTTCTGGTTGGCTGGTATTGGAAAAATTAGCATTAGTGAAGTTATTGGAGACAGTAAAGTGCAAAGCAGATGACTGGAAGATTTTTGTCCTATGCAGAGCTTCTTTAAACCAGCTGGGTCTCCCTCTCCACAGACTGAATAGGGAGGCAGGTGCACATGTTGTTCTTCCAAGCTGAAGTAGTGACAATTATCTGAATGTAAAAAAAAGGGAGTGCAAGTCACTGCATTTCAAGTTTAAAAAAAAAAGGTAACAAGTGTAGATGCAAAGAGAAGAATCGGTGTGTTGCTCTGTAGTGGTCATGGTTTTAGAACTGCACAATGTCCTGAAGTTGTGTGTAAGAGTTTTTCCCTTTGCAGGCTGTTGGACCTGGAGGAATAGTGAGAAGGAAAAATAGTGAGTGTAAAGATGTTATGAAAAGAGTGAAATACCTCTGAGGATTCTCAGAGAACACAAGCAGAAATGTCAGGAGGCTATGTGGGGGTTTGCATTTTGTTTCCCTTAACTACTGCTGTTCAGATATTGATCAGTGGAATAAAGTTATTGAGCAGCTGGGAACACCGTGTCCAGAATTCATGAAGAAGCTGCAGCCAACAGTACGGAACTACGTCGAGAACAGACCCAAGTACGCTGGCCTCACTTTCCCCAAACTTTTTCCAGACTCTCTTTTCCCAGCAGACTCAGAACACAACAAACTCAAAGGTATGTCTGACAAAGGGACCTGGTTCATATGCAACAGCTGCAGTGGAATGAAGGCTTTTCCAATTTTTCTTCTCTCTAGTTGCACTCCATTTAATGGAGTTAGTTGCAGACCAGTGACTGCATGGGCTTTGTTCAGCTGAGAGGCAGGCTTTGGAAATGGTTTTTGGAGATCCTGGTGATTGGGCAGCCAAGGGAACATAATCACTAATGCACTGAGAATATTCCCATGGTGTTCTATGTGATGATCCTGTGCTACAAGGAATTGAGGCGTTCCTTTACTCTTATTCTTGAACTTTTAACACAACAGAACAATCGAACTTCCATTGGGAGATTTCAGGACTTGCACTGGTTTTTTTTAAGTGAAAAATACCAGTTCAGCCAAATGCCTGCCTCATAGCTCTACCTTTACTAGAATATACAAATATATTATCAACATCAGCCAAAATGAAGTAGCCAAGGTTTAGTATCCTCTGGGGTGGATTTCTCCTTTTGAAAAATCCTGTGGGATATGTGAAGTAGAAAACTAACTAATATCCCCCTGTAGAAGAAAAATTGCCATGATTTTAATCATATATTGAAGTATTTTTTTCACTTGAATGGGGCATTAACCTCCAATGGAAAAGAGTGATTATTGTGTGTTTAGTAGGCAGCCCTGGAGCCCCTGCAGACCTGTGCTGTGTACTGGCTCTGCACCATTCCAGTCCTTGGAGGCACTCACCACACTGGCATTTAATGGTTTTCAATTGCTTGCAATTTGCATGTCATTACACGACCCAGAATTTTCTTCCAGTTAGCAACTGCTTCATAGCCCAGCTGCTGTCCTGGCTCTGGGAGTAAGGGGAGAGGTCTGGGCAGATGCTTTTGGATACACAGAATTTTATACTCCTACCACAACACGATTGAATAATGGAATTTTCCTGCATTTGCAGCTAATGAATAAAAATGACTGTCAAACAGTGCTGTTATCTTTTGGGTACAGAAATACAGAAAGCATCTTTTGGGTACAATTGAGCATCCTGAATGCCAGTTTTGAAGATATAGCCACGAAGCAAGAAACAGTGCATTCAGGAATCCCTACTTGTGCAGCATTGTATCATCTCATGCTCTGCCTAAATATAATGTAATATTAGTGGTTTAATTAGATACTCATCCATGTATGATGAGATACCTAATAATATCTTTGCACTTACTGCTCTTTGCAACTTTTTTCCTTTCATTGTCTTTTTCACTTACACAGCAAATAATTTTGAGCATCCAAGACCTTAGAACACTACATATTAATAATACCAATAATAACAGAAATATATGTTGATATAATTTTTTCGTGTGGGTTAAGATGGTATTATATTTTTTACAAACTCCAACTAGGAAAAATCCATTTGGGTAATATAAAGCTGAGGTTGTGGCTTTGTTTTCCACAGGCAAACAGGCATTTTTTGCCTGATCAGGCATTGTTTGCCTGATGGGCACAATGGAATATATTATCAGGTAAAGTAAATCAATGCTGCAATGTAAAATTTAATGTTTGTGTGTATATATATATGTATGTATGTATGTATATGTAGTGCAGGATGATGTGCACCACTAATTTAAATTTCATTATGCAGGACAAACAAGACTCAGGCAGTTCCAAACACTTCCATATCCCAAGGCTATGGATTTGAAATTATTGCTTCAAAGGGGATGCCTTAAGATTAGCCTAATCTCTATGCCTCATTAAAATGTTTAATGCCTCACAGCAGGTTAAGTGAGAAACTTTAAAACATCCAGAGAAGTGTGGATGTTTTTCTGAGTAGTTTAAGAGTGACTGTAAGTTTTAGGCTTTGATTTAGTAATGCCATGATTTTAGACTATATGTGAACTTTTGTACTCTGATCCTGCTAATAATCACTGACACATCAAGCATGGTTTTTTTAGGGTATTATTCATCTCTCTGTGTGGAATCTGCACATATGTAAAATGTCACTAAAGCTTGTTAGGGAACTTAGGGTGTCAGCCCTGATTTTGGCACCTTTCTAATGAATCAGACCTAAAATTATTGCTGAAGAGCTCTTGCTGTGAGGAGGTAGGGGAGCAGAGGTACATACACAACCAATCTCTCAAAGGGTTGTGCCACTGCTCTTTTCCTACCCCTACTGAGGCTTCTCTGGAGGCAGAGGTTGTTTTGTACTAACTCTGTGTTTCTCTGCTTCCCTTGTTCCAGCCAGCCAAGCCAGGGACCTCTTATCAAAGATGTTGGTCATTGACCCGGCCAAGAGGATATCAGTAGATGAAGCCTTACAGCATCCATACATTAACGTCTGGTACGACCCAGCAGAGGTGGAGGCGGTAAGTGAGGCAGCACTGCTCCCTTCAGCGTGCCAAGCACAACTGGGATTCAGGGATTCCTGCTGCTTTACAGCAGCACAGCAATGAGCATGCTGAGAGAAACAATGCTGCGACTGCGGTGGTCTGGGGAGTGATGTGAAATGAGATCTGTAGGGACAGGATGTCTCTCTTTATTACATTAACTGATAATAGATGGGAGGAACAAAAACACTTCAAGCATATGAAGTCATTTTCTGCTTTCTTCTAGAAAGGATTTTTAATCCACAAGCTCACCTATTCTGCTATAGAACTCAATCTGGCAAAAGATACTATCTTTCTTTCCAAACCTTTCCCTGTGGAAGACAGCAAACATCACTTTTTATGTCTGTGTTCAAGGATATATGTAGAGAGGAAGAAAATTAAGCAAAAAAATAGTTGGAATTCTGAAAAAAAAAAATCCTGAAGTCAGAATTCAGAAAAATCCTAGCAGGACATAAATTTTTCCATAAAATGAAGTAGGGGCTCAGGTGTTTTCCTGGGCTATGGTTCAATGTACAGTATCATATACACTGTGTGCAAACAGGAATGGATTTTTTCTTATAATCCCGTCATGCTCTAGACACCTCTCTAGGCCTTGGTGAGGCTGCTGTTAACAGGGATAAGTGCAATCTGTCAGCACTTCAGTGGCATGGTATAAAAGGTATGGTCTAATGGGTGCAGGTGTAAATTCAGAGAGGTTCTCTGTAATACCCTGTATGAAATTAATGAAAACAGGTTCAGAAATCTGATTTAGCCACCATAGGAAATGAAGACCTAGTAAAATTAAATCACTGCTGTTTAGTGATGTGCTCCAATTCAGTCTGTGTTCTTGAAAGTGCAGTAAACTTCTAAAGTAAACGGAATGTTCAAACCCCCATCAAATTCCCAGCACATGAGATTTTTTCAGAGTATGTTATTTTGGAGTACTTTATAGGGCTTCATTTTGCCACTCTCATTTTCAGAGGGAAAGTTAAATTGGAAGACTTTCTTTTCATAATGAACAGTTTATTAAATTATGAATATCCATCTGTTCATGCTGACCCACCTTCAGTGGTTAGCTATAAGTCATTTACTAATTATTTTCTGGAGAAAAAAAATACATTGTGGGATATTGGTGGTTTTCTGTTCTTGCTCAGAAGGGTGTTCTCCAGCAAGCACTCCACTGAGATATCTGCCCTGCTACAGTTGCAGAAGAGTTAGGATCAAATTCAGTAAATATTTCCTAAAGCCATGGGCAATGGGGAGATGACTCATCTCATGTATTTTTGTTAGATCTTGCCAAATTTATAGCAGGGATGGAACTTAAAAGACATCTAGAAACATCCAACAAATTAGCTGTTTGAGAGGTAGATACTTTTGCTTATTCACTTAATAATCTGACTCTGTAAATTTGACTGTACTGAATAAAACCACAGAAGTTATAATAGGGTACAACTGAACAAAGTAAGTAGTCTCTGAATGACATTTCAAAGCCTAAAAATGGCCACGTGGCTCATTAATGTTGAATTTGCAGCATGATGAGACTCTATGAGGCAATCCTGCTTTTTCAAAGAGTGCCCTGCAAATGTGCAGCCAGGGAACCTGACAATAAAGCAATGGGAAAATTAGTGACAGAGTTATGCTTAGTCACTTGCATAATGCTTAACTTCCCATATTTTTCCTGGTTTCCCCACTGGGATTTAGAAGCCTGCAGTGTGTTGCACCTGCCCATGTTCAATGCACTCTTTTTTTTTGGTAATACTTTATAAGCACTTTTACGCAGAAGTTTTTCAGCATGTAGCTAAAGGTTTAGGAGTGGAATGTTTTGGGATTTTTTTAAGTTCTCTTCCTATACTGTGATATGAGACAGGATTCCTCCCACTATCAGTAATCCTGTACAGTAGGGATAACAGAAATTAGGATACAGAGGTATTAAACAAGATGCCATTTTCAGCCAGTGTAGCACTGGGGAGGGGGGAATTGGGTAACTTCTGCTGTCTAGTTAGATTCCTGCTTCTCCCCAGTAAATGGCTTCATCAAAAGCAGCCAGGCATCTGTTGTACAGTGTCCATTTCATTCAGGAGCATGAGAGGATAGGTAACTGGAAGCATTTAATGTGACAGGAATTTTGAGGTGAGCTGTTGCAGCATTGTTAAATGTCAGCATGTGCTGGAGTAGACAATGCAGAGCACTGAACCCAGCTCAGGGAATAAGCAGAGAATTTGGTGTCAAAGTTTAACCTGGAGGTAACAACCCTCTGTGTCTGCTCAGATTTACAGCATTATAAATGTGAGGGAAACAGATAAAACAGCCCTACCCAGTGAAAAAGCAGACTAGTGAGACAGTTGCAGTCCCTTTTTATAAGTCTATTATAAGATTATGGTCTTTCAGAGACTGTGTGTGGGCAATAAAACTATTATGTCTTGTTCTAATGGGCAAACACTGTGCACAAATGGGAAGTGCTGGGAATGCAATACCCTTTCTCCCACAATGTGTCACAGCATTAAACTCTTCTGGGTGGCCCTAAATGCCAAGTGTGATTCTCTGACCCAGAGAGGAAGATGAGCTGTTATTAGATGTGGGATTTGCTATTCACCAGCCACAGGAGGTTACTCAAACAGTGCTGGGGCCCTCCCACAGAATTTCTTCATGAAACAAACACAGCCAAAGCCCTCAACAGCTCTGAAACAGCATCATACTCACTGCTAGAAACAGGCCTTGCACAGGTTTGGAGCTCACCTGTGGATTTTGGATTTACAGGGAATTCTTAGATCTAACATAGGTTGTTTGCCAGGTTCTTTTAAGCGCACACAGCTTGCCACAGTATCTCTGATTAAAAAGCCACAGCGTTAGGTTCTCCAGAGCATACACCATTGTTCTGAAATTATTCTGAATAGCATTACAGTTAAGGTAATTCCTGTATTCAGCCAATAACAACTAAAACCTGTTTTTAAAAAATAGGAGAACATGCAAAACATGAACAGGAGAACATGTGTGGCCTGGATTGGGTGGAATTCCCAGATGTTGAAATCTGTTATCTATCTTCACACCTAATTTAAATGTAGGGAAACAAGAGTTCACAGGGCAAAAGTATTATTTACTAATACTACGCAGGAAATCTACTGTAAAATCAGAATAGGAATTTATAGAACTTACTTCTCTGTTTTATTCTTTAGTTCAAGACTCTACTGGAAGTCTCTTTTTTTTCAGCAACTGTCTCAGATCCACTTTTAAACAAATAATATGTTTATTACTTTGATGTGAGGATATTTACCTATACAACAGCATTTGGGCTATTATGTGAATAAATGACACACATGATATCTATTCTTCCTCCAATTGCTCTGTTTTATGGAAAGAAGAGGTTTCCAATATCTCTTGCCTCTACATGCAGACTCTCCTGTTTCTTGTAGATAATCTCAGTATCTCCCTGATGACGTATTAGCTTCTCCATTTTCCTGTCTGAAAATGCTCTGCTTGAGACTGTTTTCAATTACCCGGTGGCCTTTTTTTTTTTTGGAGCTGCTATACATTCTCATCCTTCACTGAGATGATTTGTGAATTTGTGAATAAATCCCAAATCTAGTATTTAATTTTTCATATCTACCCTAATGTTTATGCCTATTTGCAGGTCACTGGGTTTTATCCCAAAATGATCAAATTGTGAAAAAAATGGATTCCTACGCATTGCTTTAGCACAGTAAAGTTCTTTATTTTCTTATTGATATATTCAAAGAGACCATTCATGTTGTATTGGATTCCATTTTGGAACCTTTTGAATGTACGTGTGATTTCATATTGATTCCTACTTGGGAAAACTTGTTCCATTTCATGGGAACAAATCCAGTAGCAAAATTTGCTGTATTATTACGTGATGTTTCTGTTAGCTGGTTTCAAAATTTGTCTTGAACTTTCCTGTACCTGCAGTTACTTTTTGTTGTCTGATCTGTGCCATCCATTAGAAGAGAGATTTCTATGAAACAGAAACATCAGGTGTTAAAAATATTCCTTTCAAGCATTCCTCTATGTTTGACAGTATTTTACAGCAGTGGTAGATTTTGTAGGGTTTTATTCACTCATACAGCTTTCATTCCTGGTTTTATTTTTACAGGATTTATATTTCACTGGAGTATTTCTGCATCTAGAACCATCCACAGGGGGCTGAGTTGTGAATTATCATTCATTTTTCTGTGCATGCCAATCTGGGTGTTACTGTCTATTAATGTGATGCTGTTTCCAGTGTTGCTAATGAAAAAAACTTGGTTTATGGTTCTCAGTCTGAGGGTCCAGGACAGAAACTGCTGCTGTATTGTCTTAGCCCTATATAAACTATCTATGACCAGCTGTTAAATTCAATTTTTTAAAACTAGTTTATCACAATTAAAAAAAAAAACCAAAAACAAATTACCTACCTCTTATTTTACCTGTGAGCACTAAGCCTCCATTATGATGGAGAAGCACTTTGGAGAGCTCTGTGACCTTGGCTAACACACTTCAAAGAAGTGTGTCACTACATGACATAAGCAAGGCTGTCAGGTTGTGCATCATTTCTGCTGTTCTTTTCTCTTGCTCAGCTCTGTATGTGTAGATGTTGTATAGAAAGTCTTCAATGAGCTTCCACATTTTTTAGCACTCAGTTACAGGGCTTGGTTTTCTGCTCAGAGATTGATGGTGTGCATCTGTTGTCTCACAAAAGAAGTGTGCAGCTCTGCTTTGTGCACAAGCACAGACATTTCCTCTAGTCAACAGCATCTATCTGTTCATTGCTGATTGATTACGGAAGCTGAACACAGCTTCTGCAAAAATCTCTGTTAATGGCAGTGAGGAGGAGTGGTTAGAGAAGAAAGAGGCATTTCTTTTCTTCTTTTTCCTTTTTGAACCAAACTTAATCTTTTTCCAGCTTGCTTGTTGTATCTTCAAGCTGTTCAGTCATCTGTGTGTAGCCCAGTAATCTTGACTCCTGCTGCATGGCATCCTTATGGTCCAGCTGTTCAGAAATAGCTCTCTCTACAATTTCCTTGATGCACATAATGTGTGGAGTTTTCCAAAAGCCTCTGCACAAACTCCAAGGAACAAATGGGCCCAGAGTCATCTCTTCTTCCATATTCGTAGCTGAGATCATCCCTAGGCCACTGTGGAATCCCTTGGCAATACAGGGTGAAATCCCCAGCACTTTGTAAATAAAGAGATGTCAGACCTCTGGTGACAAGCACGCTGGTGTACTTGGGCTTGCACTGCAAAAATAAATATATGAATGGTATCTGTAACACAATTTAGGTTGCAGCAAAGCACCAAGGAATTTTTGTATTCATTTGTTATAAGGATCTAAGCTGTTTAATAAAATGTTTAACCTCACACCATTAATTTTTGCATCCTCCAGTCCCTCTTTTATCTGCATTATCTTGCTAATTGCATTGCTGCCTTGTTGTGCTACTCCACAGCCACTGCCCCAGACCCTGCAATTCTGGGAAGAGATGCAGACTCAGGCCTTGCTCTGCCAAGCTTTCTAAAAACAGCTCATCCCAAGGTCTCCACTGTGCTGGCACTAGCTCTGCAGAGGCAGGGACAGAGATGGCAGGATTTGCTGGAGTGTGGGCTCCAGCTCATTCCCATTGCTTTCTAGCACTGGCATACAAACCAATCTGTGTTGCTTTGGGAAAGTGAGAATACTTTGGTTTCAACATATGTTTTGTTTTTTTCTCTAGTGAAAATCCTCCCCTCTCTGAATATTAAAATGGTATTTAACAAATCCAGTAGTCTCCTGCTGTTTATCTGAGAACATAAACCCCCCTTGTCTTTTGTGTATTTTGCTTTTTGGTTTGTTTTTTCATTGGTTTTGCTTATTTATTTGTTTGCTTTGCTTTTTTTTTTTTTTCAGAAAGAAACCAATGTGGATATTTTCTGTTGGTTTTTTTTTTAATTTTTATTATGTCCAATTAATGTTATATTTATTGAAAAATGTTTTGAAAATCAATTTGTAAAATGGAAAAGCCAAGACCCATTGAAACAACGGGGGAGTGTTTTAGTACCTATAAGAAAAATATAATTCATTCATTGCTTCCATATCCAAAAATAGATTCTATTCTTTGTTATTGTTGCCAATGCAACTGCTCGCAAATCAATCTCTTTTGGGAGAAAATGGCTGCCTTAAACTGAAGCTAGATGCTGCCACCCATAGGATTGTTTCACACTCTGCCTTGATTTGATGTTACTTGAACTTGGTGCTTTTTCTGAGACTTAAAGAATTACAGAATCCACTAGGTTGGAAAAGACCTTGGAGATCATCAAGTCCAACCTATGACCTAACAGCACCTTATCAACCAAACCATGGCACTGAGTTCCATATCCAGTCTTTTTTTAAACACCAAAAAAAATGAACTAGCTACCTCTCATTTGGCATGTGCAGTATGAAGGATTTACAAGAATGCCTATAACACTGCAACTGCACCCATATGGAAAGTTAATGATGATGAACTCAGTCATTTTCTAAGATGTTTGATTTAGGTAGCAAAGTCAGTTTTAGGCAAAGCTTTGCACCAAGACTAAAATCAGGTGCCCAGGAGGATGTAGGTTTGGCAGCTGCTCTGATCGGTCCATTGCTGAGACAATACTTTTTTATTACCTTTAAAAACCTCTAATTTTATTATCTTTAAAAACCTCCTCCATCTAATTTTAGAAATTGGTTTTTTAAAAAGCCACAAAACAAACAAGTTAGCAGAAAAGGGGTGGTCAGCATGGGAAGGATTACAATCTATTGGTAACAGTGTGCTAAGTTTTGTGGTTCTCCTATGAAGTAATGAGAATTGTGGGAAAGTAAATTCTCAAAATATCTTTGGTATTCTCAGCTCATCTCTGTGCCTTGAATCAATGAAAAGGTGAGGACTCAGGGAATTTTGATGGGAAAGCTTCATTTCTCCCAGTGTGAAGCACTGGCCTGGGCTCTCAGCAGAGCTACATTTAACTATGCTCTGCACAGGCTTTAGAGTGGTTGCAGACCCTGCCTCTGTAGGGATAAATCCCCACCAGGGATTTATTCATGCTGTTTTCTTGCTAAATATTTGTTACCCTTGGCTCCCTCATGCCTGCTGAGAGCCATGTCTCATAGCTGTGGGTTCTGCTAACTCACAAGTAAAAAGTCTGCAATGTCAGCACTGGAAGAGCAGTAGAATGCTGTGCAGGTGCAGCTTCTGGCATCCTGCAGTGTGTGAAGGACAGCTTGTTTGCTCTCCCTTGTTTGATTCTACAGAAAAATAGGAGCTGGGTAATGAGTAAGGTTATTCTGGGCTCTCTCCCTGGAAAATGCCTTTGTTTTCAGACTGCATTAATCTAGGCAATGATTACTGCTGATTTTCTTGGTGCTTATTAGCCAATTACCCCAGCTTAAGATGTAGCTGAATTAAATTAGAAGAGAAATAAGCCAAAGATTCTGTGGTTGTGTGAATTGAGAACAGGTGCATCTGATCACTTGTTCCTTTTGGTTCCGCAATTTGTGTTTGGGAATTAAAGTAGTGAGGGAATCTATCCTCTTGTTTCTGTCTGGGGGAGAAATACAAGCTTTTCTGTGGAAGGTGTAAAAAGAGTGTTTATACTTGGCAGAAGCAATTTTACCCCCACCTATGCCTTTTGTAGGCTTCTCCCTGAAGCTTTTAGAAAGCTACTTTCAGGATATTCTTGTCCAACTTGGTTTGCCTGTTCCCTTTGCACCTGGCAGAGAAGAGGTGGTTCTGTCACTGTGGTTCAGCTCAGCCAAACACCTCCCCTGCTGCTCCTGTAAATCCCTACCCCCTCAATTTTCTTGGCATGCTCCAGGGCTGGCTGAGGGGCTGAGCAGGAGCCCAGCAGGCTCAGCTGGAGGAGTGGAGCTTACCTATCACACCCCACCTGGTCAGTGGTGAGGATCACCTGTACTCTTGTAGCTTCCAGCTCCCTGACAACACCCAGCAGGAGCACAGAATCCCCACAGAGGTTGTGCCCATCTTGGTAGCATCAGGACTCACTGGAAAGGAATGAGGAGGGTGGTTATGCTGAATAAGAGAACAGCTGCACTGGGGCTGTGTCTTGCCTTGCTGATATAACAAAACCTCTAGTAGCCGTGCTGAGGCCTGGCACTCACTTTAATTCATGATGTGTTTCCTCAGCACCTTCTCAGGTATGAGACTTAGCAATCCATGACTTCACCTAATCCCCTTATCTTCAGCACTGATACAAATGTCACTCTGGAGAAACTTCCCTTGTTTTCAGTGGATTTGTCCAGTTCAGCTATCATGTAATTTTCCTGGTCCATATCATGTCACTGAGCTATTACTTTTTCAGTTGTATTTGTAGCATGCTTGTAATATGACTTAATGGACTGATGGAGTTAGAGTCCTGAGAGAAAATTTCTAAATTCTCAGTGATTCAAGAAAACAGCTTGGTAAAGATGCATTTAATAGGAGGATGTTTTGAAGGGGACACAATGGCAAGTGCCCAAGGTGGAAGTCAGAGGAAATACATCTGAACAAGAAGAGTACTGTGGATCTTGTTTCCATGTTCATTAGGTGCTCTTACCTCAGATGCTGGAGCTTCTTGGTGGAAGGAAGAAGGGGAGAGTCTTCTGCCTTCCTTGGCTGCTCTATTTGGCAGCCAATATCAGGAGATGCAATGAACATACGGCTTAGTTGCCCAATGAAAGCAGGTGTTCAGACTCCCTGAAGTTCTAGGTGCCTTTGTCTCAGTAAATTCCAGGATCTGCCAGTTCTCTGACATTTCCATCAACTAAAATAAACACAATTTTAAAAAAACCCAACAAAACAAATGACCCAAAACTTTCTGTCCAAAGTAACGTTAGTTAAAAAAACATATATTGGAAATTTTGGTAATTTGGAATTTGGATTAGAGACTGTGGCATGGAGACTCACTTAAAAATTAGAGTTACTTTGGAAATTCCGTATTGCAGCAAATCTAAAGAGCAAATTAAAAATTTATATGTTAATGTTACTACTAATTAATCAAGACTGCTATTTGTTTGGTATTCTGACAGTACCTCTCTGCTGGTACAAATAATTTGGGTGTGGAGTTTCTGGGCTCAGTACAAGCACAATGACATTGTTGACCTGGGTGTTATTTCAACTGCAGCTATGCCTCCTTTTTAAGAAGGGAAGACAGAGAAGTATGTTGATTTCTTCTACAAAAAGAGTTAACTTCCAGAAGTGTTAATCCCCTTAATATTCAAATGTGTTTCAGATGTTTTTGCATGTACAGGATGGATTGCAAAGAGAGAGAGGAGAAATTATCTTTAATTAAGTGATTAGTCCTGATTATTTACAGTATAACAGACAATTGACTGAACAGCTGTGTTTCTTTCCTGCAGCCTCCTCCTCAGATATATGATAAACAGCTGGATGAAAGGGAACATACAATCGAGGAATGGAAAGGTAATTGCAGTTTAGAATTACATGGGAAGGAGTATTTTAGTGGCAAAATGGCAAAAACATAGCAAAAAAATATGGAAAATGTTCCAAGGACTATCATTATCTACATAGGCTAATGTTAACACAGGAGGTGTGGATTCCAGTGCTTCACTGAAATCCAAGGAGAACAAAATACTGTTCAGCAGGGCAATGCATCAGAATTTTAGCCACAGGAAAAGGTGCTGTGATATTGTGCTGCTTCTCTTCTAGATAGTGCAGCATTAAACAGTTCCTCTTCTCTGGTTGAATCCCATTTGACTCCATTCAGCTCCAAAAGGAGATGAGAGGAGGGGAGGGGAATGGAAGAGAGAGGTCTTAGGTGAGTAGAGCTGTCAGACTTGGGAAGACAGGGCAGGGCAGACTTGGGAAGCTCAGGGCTACAGCAGGGTGTGGTTGTTGTTTTGTTCCTGATCACAGGCACTGGCCTCTGTCACTAACTGTCCCAATTCCCTTTTCCAGAACTCATCTACAAAGAAGTAATGAATTCCGAAGAAAAGACTAAAAATGGCGTAGTAAAAGGACAGCCTTCTCCTTCAGGTACTCAGCCCCATTGAATAACCTTGCTGTTGTTCTTTACTGGCAAAGAGGGAATGGAGATTGCTGAAGGGCTTAGGCTACACTTGCAGTCATGCAGGCCAATGAGGAAGTTTTTATGAGATCCAGTGCTTCTAATGGGTTGACCTTTATTAATAGTACTCCAGTGTCATGTTAATATAGTACTTTAAAAATTATCTTCTTGCTATTTGAGAGATTGTTGTGCTGGTATTGTCTGTGGTTACAGATTATATTCCTCTGAGTGTGGAGGTTTCTCTCACACTGGTATTTTCATACTGCTTATGGGTGGATAACTGAACCAATGCTTTGCTAGTTGAAACAAGCAAAATTGGTGATGTTAGCACACATTAATCTCTTGGACACACAACACTGCACACCTGACCCCCACCCCAGCCCCATGTAGATGTCTGGTACTAATCTGGTAGTCTGTCCTCTCAGAAGTCCAATCACATTAGTACAGCTGGCTGACAAAACTTGATGACACCTCAGTGAAAAGGGAAAGTTGTCTTCAACCACTGACTCTTAAAGTTCTATCACAAAACATCACAACTAAATTTTTCCTGAGTAGAATTCATATCAGCAGTCTTTTTACAGAAATGCAAACTGTTACTGCCAGTACACAGAAATACATACTTGTGAAGGTACAGTTTCACTGGCAAACTTGAAGTGCCCAGATTTTGAGCACAGTGTTCCAGCAGTATTTATGAGTAAAACTGCCTTTCCTCAAAGTTTAATCATTTAACTCAGTGTTCTCTGCATATTTTCAGAGAGTTTTTTTTGCACTCTCATTTTTCACTTGCTGCTGAGCCAAGTTAATGTTAGAACAAGAATATATCACTAGTAATTGACAGGACAAGGGGGAACATGGCAATAATGGAGGGAGTTTAATAAAGTGCTGGGTGGTGATGTTGGAGCACAAGCCCTGCACCTGGATTTTGACATGGATGAAGTAATATGTTGGAAACAATCCACTGTGTTCTTGCCAAGTAGCAAAGAACAGAACTTGCAGATTTAATTTACCTAACCACGGTGCCACCACTGAAAAGAAAACTGGGGCCCTAAAAATTATCTGATAAATCCTCATCCTTAAATTTTTCTCCCTTGCAGAATTGTGGTTGCAGGTTGATTTATGATCAAGAAACACTGTAGTTGCTTGTTTTAGGAATTAACTACCCAGGGATTTCTTTATCAGTTTCACATTCTGGCTTTGCTCTATGGAAGGTTTTTTGTTGTTTTTTTTTTTTTTTTTTTTTTTTTTTTTTTTTATTGTTTATGTAAAACATTTTCAGACATACAAAATTGGCATTTTTTATCTAGCATTTATCCTGCTGTTTCTCTTTGACTGTTTTTTGAATGTTAGGCACCAACATGTTCAGAAAATATTTCAAACTGCTCTCAGATGAGACTGTTTCATGAAACAGTAGATTTCCTGTTTTTCTTCACTTTGTGTGCCTGACTTAGATTTTCAGCTGAATGAAATAATGGAAGAAAGAGGTAAAACACCAGTTCTGAATATAAGGAAAATGAGAGAGGCTCTACTCATTGGTTGGTGTTCTTGGCAAGAGTTCAGAAAGCTGAGATTTAGTGCTCTATCAATAATCATGGCAAGCAAGCTGGAGCTTAGTTTCCATGATTACTTGATAAGAGTTTTGGGGGAGACTGCTGAAGCTGACAGCATCAGGGATAATAATTGCTCATTGATGGAGCCACTTAGAGTGCCTGTGTATCAGGCTGTCAATCTCTTTTCTGTGAAGAATTGGTTAGTACAACATATCAGCTTGGAAACTCAAGCAGCTGCCCCTCATGCTTATGTTCAGTGAACAAAATCAACAATGTCAAAAATTGTTCCCAGCAGAGGCTACTTCTGCCTGTCCAAAAAGAGTGTTTCTGTTATTATCAAACAGCAGCATTTGAAAAAAAAAAAAGTTTAATACAAAGCTATAGATTATTTAGAATTAAACTTAAGTTCTGTCCAGAGTATCTAACTTCCTCTCACACTCTCCCCTAACCTTCACTACCCAGCTGTAGTTTCACACATAACATTTTCAACTCTCTTGTCCTTTCTGGGTACAGAGTATAGTAAATAGCAGAAATCTTAATGCAGCTTATTTGTAGCACTCCCTTTCTAGGTGAAAATGGATCTTGTATTCTCCATTTCCTGCCTTTTACTTGCTGTCTGAATTGCCATCACCCAGGAACTACTGGACACCTTTACTAGTAGGGCACTTCTTCTGTCATATGCAGACTTTATATTAAGCAGCTGCTGGACTTGCCAAGCACTGCCACACTTGATCCCAGGAGCTGCTATGCACACAATGTATGAGAGGCTGAGCAGATCCCCAGTACAGACACTGGATTTTTTTTGGAAACTGCAAAAGCTGCAGTTCTCCTTTCAGTTTTTTTACCCCAAATCTGTATCACTTGAGTTGAAGTCTCAGAGGCACTTCCATTGGTGCTATTTAGTAGCATTTCTCAGGAGCCCTTTCAGGATGGAATCCCTTCTTTACAGCACACAAGCTGATGAGTGCTTTGAAAGAGAAGCTGTCAAGGCAATAGCAGAGCCAGGAACAGATCCCAGGAGCTATTTCCCACCTGCTCTAACCTTTAACATTTTCCTCAATCCTGCAGCCAGTGAGAAGCTTCCTGTCAAACAGCAACTTCATAAATGGAGCTCTTTTTCTCTTTTGAGTGCACCTCTGTCATATGTGCACTGTCTCACCTGGCACACATCCCTCCAGGAGCAAACTGCTGTAGCACAGCAAATGGAGCATTCCTTGCTGACTGGGACAGCTTTGTTTGGGCTTCTGAGTGCTACTGCCCAAGTCCTGCTTTGTGCTGCTGAGCTCTTCAATTCTGTCATTGGGGTTTAGTGTGGTTTCCTTTGTTTTTGTGGATACTTTGTGAGTCTGGGTGCTTTGGAGCTGCAGCAGGAGCTGTCACATCTGTGTTATGTCATGTGGAATTGTGCTGAAAGCTAGGAATAGCCATAAAAATGCAATTTCCAGAAACTCGTGGGCTGCACTGATACTTGCTGAGAAGATCATAGCAGGGTTTATTGAATTCAGTGGTGCTGAATGAGACAGAGTGTAACAAAATCTTTACCCATACAATTTCTGCAGCTATTTCTTGTTATTTTGCCTAGCTAAGTTGAGTGCATGTTCATCCAGGAAAGCAGCAGTTTGATCAAAAGTTGATTAAACCTACTGGAATTCTTTCCATTTTATTCTTAGGACAGTATCTATGACTTAATGGCAGGCTTCTGCCCAGCATGGTAAACATAGAAAGGTAATATATTGTTTAGTCATTAATATGAATTAATTCAGTCATATTTTGATTACCCATAAATATACTTGTCTTGACTGATTAGTATTTTCATAAAATACCACATGATTGAATAACATGTAAACATGAAGTAACAGTATTGTACTGAATGATGAGGTACACATAAATAACACTTTGCAAAACACATTTTATGACAGAGAGGATGGATGATTGCTGTCTGCAGTCACCAGTCAGACTTCATTAATATTGCTCTTTTTGCAGCTCTTACAAAATTAGCTATTTTATTTTCCAAATGTATCAGGAGAGTAAATTAATTTAATTGGTTCTGATGCCATAATGTACAACTAGAACAGCAGAAAGCAGTTCCCATCTGGAGCTCTAAATGTGAGCATATCTGTCTCTGTTTTGTGCATATTTACAGTGGATGTGTATTAAGGGAAGAAAAAGTTGAGGGATATAGAATAGTGGTTGGAGGTATGGTATGGTGGCTTGTTTTCTCAAATTAATGTTTTTATTGCAAATTAGAAAGTGACAAAAATCCTTTCCTTTTGCCCACAGCAGCATATACTTTGCCTAGTCTGTAGAGATAACTTTTAATCTCTGTATTAGGAATATGTGAGTTGTGTAGTTTACTGGATAATAGATGTTCATTTCTAGCCATTTGGTGGAAATGAAAATTTGTAAAAGTTGGCTGAGCACACTTTTCAGACAGAAGAATGAAATGGCATCTATCTGCAGAACAAAGACCTGTGTCACCTGCCTAGCTCTAATTTCTAGCTATGCAAGATCATACAAAATTACACATTTTAATATCACAAATATTTAATGGAAATTAATGTATCCCTCTCAAACTGAACACAGTGCTAATTTTGGTATAAGAGAATAAAAAAAAAACATTGCCTGGAAATTCAGTGGGGAAAAAAACCCAATCAAACAGGTTTATGCTTCTCTGCAAACTTTAGTTTGAGCTGAGGTCAATGAGCAGTAACAGTTAAGCAGTTATAGGTGCATGATAAATACATTCTTTACATGGCTCTGTATTTGTCATTCAGTTGTCTGAATTTATCAGACAATTTCTGATAATATTCAGGGATGTGATGAATGTTCAGGTGCATTAATAATAATCTCAGGAAGGTTCATTCTTCATTTCATAAAGTCAAAGTGATTTTTTGCAGTAATGTGTGGTACCATCATAATTTTAGAGAGGTGAGGTAAACTTGGCTGTACAAAAATACAGTCCTGCCGGAAATCCTGGGCTTAGTGCCCTAATCCTTAGTAAGAGAAAGAAACCACTCTGCATTTCCACTGGGTGATTTGATCCCACCCACTCTATTAGACTAAGTCACTAAGAAAGCTGGAATTTTATGAGAAGAATATAGAGGAATTTATGAGAATATGAGGAATATATGAGAGGAATTTATGAGGAATAGGTGGGGTCTTTTTTTGTTTTGGTCACACACTGTATGATCCTGGCATGCTGTTGGGTGTTTTGGAACTCCAAGCAGACTAGAGCGAAATGGGGTGACAAACACTGTATGAGCTATAGCTTTTCAAAGCAGACTGGTGAGGGACAGAATTTCCTGGTAAGATATTTAATATTATCCAATGTCTAAAGTTTGTATGGCCCATTTCCTGCTGAGGTTTGCCACTGGATAAAATGGTCTGCGTGCCAGCAGGTAAGCACCCTCTGCTCTTTAACACGTGGCACCTCCTGGAGTTTCGGGTTTAATCACGTTGGTGTTCGTTTTCGTAGCACAGGTGCAGCAGTGAACAGCAGTGAGAGCCTCCCTCCATCCTCATCTGTCAACGACATCTCATCCATGTCCACGGATCAAACCCTGGCGTCTGACACGGACAGCAGCCTGGAAGCTTCTGCGGGACCCCTCGGTTGTTGCAGGTGACTAGCCGCCTGCCTGCGAAACCCAGCGTTCTTCAGAGGATGATGGAACCTAGGAGGAAAAAAGTGATGGGAGCTAAGAGATGAAAAGAAAGAGAAATAAAACACAGAGATTTAAGTGAAACAAACAAAGAAACAAACAAACAAAAAAAATCTTTTCAGCCTGCTTCTCCTACAGAGTTATGTAATGCAGCTAAGCTCAAGTGTGTATTTAACTTATAGTTGCTCTGCTTTGGTCTTCTTCCAGTGATGCTTACTGGGGGGCAAAAGGGAAAAAGGAACTGAAAAAATCCTTTTTTTACCCCCCTCCCCACAAGATGTAAAATGAATGGCTGCAAAACCAGCAACCTGCAACTGTCTTTTTCACACTGGCATGACAAGGTGTGCAGTAGCCACGCTCCACCATACGAGTGTGTGTCTGCCTTCACTGTCTGCTCTGCTGTCTGCCCCGTGAGGCAGGCAGGGATCTCCATGCATTTTTTCCTCACACACATACACACATGTGCCAACAGAATCCTGGCAGTGCATGCAGCTGTGTGCCTGCACATCTGCACAGGCACTTAGTGTGCACTCCACGACTATAAATGGCCCACTCCAGGCGAACTGCTTAACTACATAGGGGATCTTACAGTACAAATTCTATCCGTTTGCTCATTGATGAGGTTACATATGAGGACTTGTGGAAGTGTAAATAACCACATAGAACTGTGGCTCCCTCAGACACTTGAAGATGTAGCACCAAATTTCTGCTGAGAGTTGTATATATATTTTGAAATAATAACCAGTTTTATTGAAAGAAGAAGCCACAGAGCTTCATAGAAAAATGCTAGTTTGTGAATGTTAAGACTTGTTGTTCTGATTTTTAGAGCAGATATGCCAAGATAAGACTGGGTTAGAAGGAAGCACATGTATCTTTGCAAGCTACAGGGAACAAGAATGAAGGGGTTTTATGCATGTCTAAGCCCAGAAAGGTATCAGTAAGCAACTTTTTCTGTCAATGTTAAGTGAGTTATCATCTTAGGGCATAGATAGGCTCGCTATTTTGAAGTACATGTATGTTTGTAAATTAGAGGGTATGACAGGGTTGGGGAATGAGCAGACTGTGATCAAAAGGACATGCACCAACTTGGTTTTATTTTATGTCTAGATCTTTATTAGGTTAGCTAGAGAAAGGATATTTGCAGCTCACTCCCTCTCAGTGTGTGCTTGCAGCTCAGAGGTTGTTTTCCCTTTTCATCATTCCCTTGCAGGCACTTCTGCTACTCAGAGAACAGGCATTCTCTGGGTGCTTTTGGTTCTTCATTTCCTCATGACAAATCAGTGGACTCCCCAGGAAGTTTTGGCATCTGTGTTACACAGAAAAGAATCACAGAGTGCAAGGGTCTAGTTTTCCTACATTCTAACAGCCAAGGTTATCAATCAGCTCATGCGCTGGCCTGGAAGGGTTGCAGCCAGGGGACTTGGGCAGTTTGGACAAGTTCTGAAGAACCCAACAGTGACTGAATATCAAATTGAATTTGCCAGGTAATAAAGCAGAGGATTTCCCGTGGTAAGTAACAGCAAGAATGACAAAATTCCACACAAAATTTCAGAACCATTGAATATTTTTTCCAGCCAAAACAGCAATTGGCATTTTCCACTGTGAGGTCATCATTTATCTGAGTTGGAAATTAACTAAAATCCAAGTCGTCTGTCCTTTTACCAAAGTGTGCCATGTAAACTGAAATGAGCTAAATCCTACTCTAATGCTTTTCCAAATGCCAGAGAGAGAAACTGTTTAGACTATTTTAGTGGATATTTTAAATTCACTAATTCTTTAATATTCAAAACTCTACCAAAATAGGACTGTTCCATTGGGTGGCTTACAAGCCTGCCACTCTGTGGTAGGAAAAAAAAATTCATATCAAATCAGATTTTTTTCAAAGGGAAGAAAGGGAAGAAGAAAACTTCTGTCCAGGGTGGGGAGAAGGGGAGATAAAAATGAAGAGGATATAAAATAAAATCAGACTTGGTAGGTCTGAGTTGTATCACAATTGCTATAAGAAGTGGGGGTCTTTCCCTGGTATATTTTTGGTAGATTTTTATCAAAATTTTTTTTGGAGAATAAAATTAGGTTGTTAATGTTCTAAAATGTCAGAGCAGTAATTTTAAAAGCAATAATTTACTACTGCTGAATATATTTAGCAATATTCTCTCTTAAGCCATGAAACATCAGGTCATTATTGAGTGATGTAACTCTCACTCCAAAGCCAATGATCATAAAAGTATTGAAAGGTTAACAGCAAAGCTCTGTAGGTATGTAGGCAATAACACCAAGGGTGATTTCTTAGCAATAATTAAATGTATCACCTCCAGATTTAATTCACCATAGATACATATTAATAATATTCAGGTAACTAGTATCTACTTTACATTCCTTAGTGTGCACCATTTGGGTGTGTTATTTAAGCAAAACTGCAAAAATATTGCCAGTGTAGACTGTAGAAACTTGGAGTAATCCCAGTTCATTGCCAGTGATGTTGTGGAGATGTGGCATAGGCAATAGCAGAGAAGCCATTTAGAGTAGATGGAGACTTGTAGACCTCCCACACTGGGTCTCTTGAAGGCAAATCTGTGCTCTTAGTCCCATGGTATAATTCAGTCCTGTTTGGGTTCATGAGTGCAGGGTGGAGAAGCAGTCATCAGAGCAGGTGTCCTTAGGACTCACAACACAGGGGTTACATAATGAGCTTTATTCCCTGATTCTGCTAAGCACCAGGGCTTGTTCAAACATCCCATGGAGACTGTAGGATGCTTACAAAAAATTAACTAGCATGTGCTTTTGTCCTTTGCTCAGCAGTGATCGACATCAGCATGTGCTTAAGTGCCTTGCTGAAATGGGGCCTGAAAGAATTACTGCATCTCTTTTTGTCCTCAAATCAGTCTCCTTAATGAGAAGCTCTGTCTGGGGCAGGAGACTTGGAGCTGTCCACATTGGACACTAGAAAAAAAAAAAGCCATCAATGAAGAAAAGCATTAGTTATTTAAAGTTCTGGTCCTTGTATGTCCAAACTGAAGTAGCAGGAATAGCATCCTTCACTTTGCTTTGTGCCAGGAATTCGGTGCTGTCAGCTGATACCTTACAATAACACATGTACTCCTGAATAAAGGATCATAGTGAGGATGTTCTGAGGATGTTTTTAGGGAAACGACTTTTTTTTTCTGATTCTGATTTCGATGCCATCCTGTTAAAGTCTGCTCCCCATTATTCCAAAATTATATTCAGCTTGATAATGATAGATGCTTTCCTTAATTTTGCCATTGATCTTTTAAACCTACTTCTGCTTAACATGTTACTAAATATTGTACGTTGGCAACAATTTTCACTTAATTCTCTGAGGTTTGCATTTGTAAGCATCACTGCCACCAGTGCAGAAGTGAAGGAAATTGAGAAGCCAAAGATCTGTGACAGATATTCCAAGGTATTTAGGCACCATAGGGGGCAATCAGTGAACCTGTGCCAGAAGTGGCATGACTTACATCATCCTGAATGGCAGCTGGACACCTTGGCATTTCTGAAAATATGCCTCAGAGCCTCTTGGTGTCATAAGTGCCTCAATACCCAAGGGAATTCTGTTCCAAGTGGCTCACCTAAGTCATGTATATAGGCAACAGCAGGGTGAGGAGAATGGCACGAGCATTATCTGTCAGTGCCTGCTCAGAGCACTAGCTGCATTGAGATGGTAGAGAGGAAAATTGCTGCAAAACATCCCTGGTTTTTTTTTCAGATGGAGAACTTTGAGATAGTATGAGAAAAAAAAATAAGAAATAAGTCAGAACAGTTCTTAAAAGACCATCCCTCTATTTTCTTTCTCACTGCTGAGTTTAAACAAGGATGAGGCATTGATTTACTACAAGTTGATGTAAGGTTATGTATGTTTTCAATCCAAAATTTTTCGTAGTTTTTGAAAACAGTCTCCAGATACTGACTTGGTAGCTGCAATAGTATTTTGTGAGCTTTGACTGTATTCCATTAGAATATATCTTCAGAGAGTTCAGATATTTGGGTTGATCACTGTGATTTATGCCAATTGTATTGTGGTTGATGTTCCCCCCTCCTATCTAGAATTCCACGGCACAAATAGATTCAGAGAATATCTTCAGAGAGTTCAGATATTTGAGTTGATCACTGTGATTTATGCCAATTGCATTGTGGTTGATGTTCCCCCCTCCTATCTAGAATTCCACGGCACAAATAGATTCATGAATCATAGCAAGTTTGCATTACATAAAACAGACTGAAATTGGAGTGCAAGTATGGCAGTGTGTCAAAAAAAAACCACCAAAAAACCCCACAAAAAAACCCAAACAGCAAAGCTACAGGAAGCCTGATCAAGTTTTCTAAGCCTTAATGCACTGATGGTTTTCCTCTGGAAATCACCAGTTCCTGCAAAGCATTGGCTTCTGAAGGTTACACGAGACAGATGATCATGTCACTATGTCACTCTTCCAAATTTATAAGCAATTTGGTTCATATACATTCCTTTCTCTTCATAGACATTGCTTTACTTTCTAATTCTGGAATAACAATACAGAAGAAATTAGACCTGATGCAGTGCCTTTTGGGAATTTCCCAAAGTAGTACTACTTAACTGATTGGGATTGTATTCTAAATTTGTCAGTGAGCACCAGTGATTTCTTTTCCACCAATTTATTTTCTCATGAAAAACATGCTAATAGTAACTTTTAGAACTGCCTGAGAGAGTCACTTTTAGAAAATCTCCCAAATGTTTTTATTAAAAAAGTGTTTTGGAATATGCTGGAATTATTGTAAAATGGACTTGGAATATTTTAATTCAAAGTAACTTCTAGTAACCAATGCTAGCTTATATATATTGCAAGCTTCACAGTAGTTCAAAGCACCAAAAACTATTTTAGTTTCAGATCTATTTATTTCTATTCAGATCTATTTATATTTCTTCCTTCATGCTTATGTAGAGTTTAAAATTTTCTGTGAATTCAAACATGCAAAAAGAAACAAAGAAACAAAAAAAGCATTTTGCAGCAAACTCTGTGCTTCCAGGGAGAGCAATATGAAAGAAAACCTGCAGGAACCAATTAGTTTTCTTTTTAAAGTCTGAGCTAGTCATTCAATTTATGTTTAAGCTTTTCTTTTTCTTTACTTCTGTATGTGTGTGTAGGGAAGAGAGGGTGTTCATATGGATTTGTAGAACCTCTGTTCCACTTGTGCTTGATCCCAGTTGTCAGTGTGGATAAAGAGAGGAATTGTAACATAATCACACATCTTCAAGAATCTGATGGCTGTGCTTATTTGAACTTCCACCACTTTACAAAGGACACAGTTAACTAATTGTAAACTCAAGGTGATCTTTTTCACACACAAACACACACACACACACACACACAAAAAAGAAAATCATTGTGCAGTAGGTTTGAATACTGCATGAATATGTAATTGTCTTAATTAGTAAGATGCTTGAGGTATGCAGGGGAATGGTGAATGTGTCATCTTCACCAATGAGCTGGAAAACCAACCTGTCCAGTGGAATTTAGTGGAATCTTCTTAGTGTATTAGGAACTTGCCAGTGGGGCCTGATTTTTCTTTCATATTTGTTGTAGGTTTGGGAGTTTTTTTACTCAACAATTGATTGCAAGAAATGAAATGTTTAACTTAATGCATGTTCAGGCTCATTGGCCTGTGGCAAGTTTGAATTTTAAAGAGGGTTTGATTTGACAAAAGAATGTTGAAAAACTTCAACTGAGGCTAATGGTGCCTTTTTACCTGAGAGGGAAAAGCTGAAAAGCACACATTGAAGGAAGACACAGTCAATTTGGGAAATAAATGTATCCTTACCATGCTTATCATTTCAGACAGGTCTAATTTTCACTGAACAGGGCCATTCTTGTCTTCTGGAAAGCAAGATATTTATAATGTAAATAGTTGTATGGACTTTTTTTTTTCCTTCCTCTGTAACTAATATGTAATAATCCAACATGCTATTTCTGTTAAAAACTTTTACAATAAGGCTGCTGTTTGCCTAAATATGGTTGACCTCTGACCTTCTCCTGAGTCAGTGACGTGTTGATAAAGGAGGGTGCTGGAAGTTTCAGTGTACATATAGAATCATGTATATTTAGTAAATTGGGTAAGTGGGACTTATGGCCAGTATACATTAAGCCACAACAGTAACGAAGCTCCAGATCTTAACTAGCAAAAACAACTGTTCACCTTGCCATGTCCATCCTGTAATAAGATCTAAGTTGCACCTGCCTGTAGTTCTGCATGATCAGACTTCAAAGTATAACTAACAAGATCTGTAATGTATCAGTGTTGATAAACGTAGATGTAAACAAGAAAAAAAAAAAGAAAAAAAAAGAAAAAGGAAAAAAAAAGAAAAATAACAGAAAAATTAAATAACTTGACCAACAAAAGAAAATCAGCAACAGCTCAGTATCAAGACTGGAAGATGAGACATGTCTGATTTTGTTGCACAGTTATAACTGAAAAGAACAACCGGTGTCAGTCAGCATAAATGGACTACAGTAAGACATTTGTTAAGGAACCAACATTATTTCCATACTGTTTTGTTCTTACCCTGTTTACTTTGAGCATCTGTTGTTCCCTGTGTGTGGCACAGGGGAGAACAGGGCCTCAGTGATCAGTGTTTTATGGGTCAATGTCGCATCAGTGATTTCCGATTTCTGTTTGTTTAGCAATTACTGAACGAAGATGGGACTCTCATGTTCTCCCATGTGTCAAAAGGAATCCTGTCAGAGCTTCCTCATGAGGATACTCTTCTCACTGCTGTCCTGACTCCTGTCTGGTGAATGACTT